CGGAAGGTTGGTTTGAGTCGACGGAATTCCAGGGATCCCTTTTCCCTTGCCTGTGTAATATTTGTATGTAATTTATCCTTGTCTATATCTTGTTCATTAAAGGTATTATTATGTGTTCTGATTATTGTCTTACAGTGGTGGCTGGAGTGGTTGGCTTTCTCTCTGTCCGGGGGTTTAACCCAAGTAAAACTTTACGGCGACTCTCGAATAAGAAACTTCGACCTGTTTTTGACTGATAAAGAGGTATGATTTGAGTGCTTTTCTAAAATCGGTGCCAAAATAGATGATATTATTTTGTTAGTACCCCCACTGATGGTTCTTCCGATGATGGCTGTTTACCTATTATCAAACTAGCAGTTGGCATCAACGATCTGATAGCATTTCAAGGTCAAGGGAGAAAGTTAACCTTCTCGGGGGTCACCGCAGAATTTATTTTAGAGAAACTGACCAAATTAAAAGTCGAGGTCAAGGATATCTTTCCAAAGGTTTTGGTGGGTATAGTTACCATTCCTCCAATTGTGTTCTCTAAATATAACAATACCGACCCTGAGACCGAACGAGATTAAATTTGATAAAGTGTTATCTACTGTAAATACTGGAATTAAGCAAATTAACAACGCTACACAGCTAGACCACAAGAGAGTTGTTACACTGTTTCCTGGCACTGCCATGTTATCAAATCGTCTCGTAAAAGGAGATGGAACGGGGCGGTTAGATGGGTAAAGAGAATAGATAACAAGCATCTACCAGACGGATTACATTTCTATATAGAATTGAAGAAAGTGTTGCAGAGGGTGTTGATAGACGTCTGCAAAAAGGGGAGGAGCTACTCTGTGGGGAAGAAGCTGCAACGAGTAGTAGCAGTTAGGAGAGTGAGGGGGGGGGGGGGGATTTCAAAAGACTCAAATAAATGTATCATATTTATATTCATGTTTCATATTTCTTTTCTTTTTCATGTCCGATTGAACCTGGTGTCTCTGTCTAGTGCTGTTAGGCTGTAGCATCCTGGAGCTGAGCACCTGAGTGGATCAACCATCTGTTTTCTTTCTACGTTTTGTAACTGTCAATGGACAAGGAAAAGGGGGCTACGGGACGCCAAGGTTCTTCGGGGGTTAAAGCAGATGAGGACTTAATCCATCGGCCAGGTATGCCAGTTAAGCCAGTTGTGTTACCAGATCCCTTTCTGGAGAAAACGAAAAGTTTGTAAAATGGTTGGAAACCTTCGAGGCTTGTGCAATGGTTAACAAGTGGTCAGATACTGAGAAGTGTCAGTTCTTGGCGGTCAAGTTTTTTTTAAAGGATCTGCAAGAAAGGTATTAAATGAAATAAAGCCTGAATTTAAAGGAAACTGGTTGCATCTAAGGGATTCGCTTAAAAACGCCTGGATGGTACAATGCGCCCTGATTTATACACGTCTGAATTTTTGGCTCGATGCAATTCGGATGAGTATTGAATGGGAATTTATACAAAAAGATGTACGTAGTCAAGGTGTGAGTACTTCAGCAACAACGGTATTGGGTTAGCTAGAGCCGTTGGTGGTCCACCTGCACCTCTGACAGACGAACTGATTAATTTATTGAAAGAGATGATTGCAGTAATGAAACCTGAAGCTTCTAGTGTCAATTTTGGACAGGGTCGGACCTGAGGAGCGGGGTTACCACTTGGCCGATGCTTGCATTGTGGCGAAGTTGGGCACTAAAGACGGAATTGTACACACTTAGGTTCTGGTCGACAGTGTTGGTGATGTGGGTCATACGGACATGTCCAAGCCAATTGCCCTAGGTCTAAGGGGCGGGGAAACTAGACACGACCGAGAGAGGATATTAATAGCCCTTATGAGCTGGGGACTCAGGATACAATTGATGGTAGTGGGAACCCAATGATAGGATGTTCATTGTTGTGTTGTGGTTTAATAGAAGGGGTTACCACAGAGATGTTGATAGACACCACCTGATTTACCTGATCTTCGATCTGTATTAAACAAAAACTTCTAGATCGCCTCGGAATTATAGTTTAGTGCGCATGACGTGGAAAATTAAGTAGAAGTAGGTTTAACAATAATTACTTTACAGCATTGTAGAGGGATTGAATTTAATGGCGTCGTTCGATTTGAATTGGTTTAAGGTATCGGATGAAACAACATATTCAGGCAATGAATTCCAGATGTTCACAACTCTTATTGAGAAGAAGTGTGTTCTTGTGTCCAGCCTGGAATTACGTTTTTCAAGCTTATGACTGTGATGATTCTACTATTTCAGGGATGTCGTTAATGTAGGCTAGGAAGAGCACAGGGCCTAGCACGCTGCTTCGGGAACTCCACTTGTGACATCAATCCAGGGGGATAATGTGCCATTGAGAATGACCCTATGACTTCTGCCTCTAAGAGGGTCCTCGATCCACTTGATGATACATCCAGAGATTCCCAGGGCTTTGAGTTTCAGGAGTAATCTTGTATTGGGAACTTTATCAAAGGCTTTTTTTAAAATCAAAATGTATCACATCTACTGGGTTTGAGTTGTCTACTTGATTGGTTACATAGTCGAGGTAATCTAGGAGCTGGGTTAATGTGGATCTTTTTGATCGAAAACCATACTGATGGGTACTCAGTGCAACATAATGGCGTCTCGAAGGATCGATTTCATTACCTTTCCTATTATGCTGGTCAGGCTGATAGGTCTGTAGTTGTTTGCCTCGGTTTTTCTTCCCTTCTTGAAAATCGGAACAACGAGGGCTGCTTTCCAAGCTTCAGACAAGAATCCTTCATCGAGGGATCTTTGGAAGAGAGTTTTTAAAGGGTTCAGAAGGTCTTCTCCGATTTCTTTTATGACTTTGGGATGAATTCCATCAGATCTTGCAGATTTGGTCGGGTTGAGTTTTTCTAATTTTTTAATGATTGTTTCTTCAGTTATACACACTGTTGTCAAAAGTGGTGTTTGGTCATTTAGTGCAATTCTTGGTAATGTGTTGGTATTTTCTTCAGTGAAGGCACTACTGAAAAAGTCATTTAGCTCGGTTGCCTTGTGGATGTCTTCTGTAAGTGTGTGACCCTCCTTGCTGATGAAATTCTTGACTGGATTTCTGGTTTTATTCTTTGATTGGACGTACTTCCAGAAGTTCTTGGGATTTGACTTTATATCGTCAGCAACATTCCTTTCGTATTCTTTGCGGGCATTCCTCTGTATAGCTGTGGCTCGGTTTCTTGATTCTTTGTATCTTTGATAGTGGGGGTCTGTCTTGTTTTTGGTGTAGGTATACCAACATATACGCTCCTCCCTGAGGGCTGCTACGACCCGCTTGTTGAACCAAAGGTTTCCTCTATTTTTGTTCTTGGTGGGGTTGGTTTTTGGTATATGGTCGTTTGTTTCTTTATCTAAAATCTCTCGTATTCTTGACCAAGTCTTTGAGGTGTCCATGTGTTGGATTCTGTTGGCCCAGTTGATCTGTGACAGGTATCGTCTCATAGCATCATAATCCCCTCTATAGTATCTTGGTTGAGGTCTTTTGCTTTCTTTGCTTGGGATTTCAGATGGGATTCGGAGGATGATGGTGGTATGGTCGCTCTTTTCTATTGGTGATGTGATGTACAGGTCAGTTATGGTATCTTCATCCTTGGTGAAAATCAAGTCAAGAGTTGATGGTGTGTCGTTTGCACGCATCCTGGTTGGTTCGGTAATATGTTGACAAGAAGTTATCTTGTGTGCATTTTAGGACGTCGTAGGTACTGGATACTGCTTCGTGGTCGTTTCCGTTTTCCAATCAATATCTCTGTGATTGAAGTCCCCCATAATCAGGATATTATCATAGTTTTCACACACCTTTTCTATTACTCGGTTTAGCTTTACACAGTTCTCTCTGGGACTGTTTGTGTTTCTGTATATACACCCAATTACCAGTGGGTTGGATTTTGTTGGTATCTTGCACCAAATCATTTCATCAAAGTCTGAAGTAGTCACATTTATATCTGAATCTGAGTTGAGATTGGTCTTGGTGTATATAATAACTCCCCGCCCACATTTCAAATTATTATAGTGAAGGTCGTAACCATGAATGTTGAACTCAACTTCTTGTAAGTCTCCTGAGTTCAGTTTTTTGAACTCTGCGATGGCTATTATATCTGGATTTACTTCATCAATTAAAACTTTCAATTCTTCTCTTTTATTTAATAAACATTGCTGTACATGCACTGTTCAGCACTGAAACAGGTGCAATATTTACAGGGTACGTAGAATTAAAACTAGTTTCCTATTCCTGGTAGTAGTTGGTGTAGTCTAGTAACATATTTTCTTTTCCATAGACCATTGTCTCATCATCTTCATAGATATCGGGGTCGGTTTCGGTTCCAAGTCGAGTTGGGATTGTTGAGGGTTCAAAATAACTTGCATCTAAATCCAATGTAGCTGTAGCAAGAGTCTTAGTCGTTTCAGATTCTGGAAAAGTGCCCATAAGGGTTGCAGACGTTGATCCTGAACCAGTTGTGTTATATAAAGACACTACAGTTGTTCGAGAATATTGGTCAAGGAATTGGTTATTTCTAACCTATCTGTTCTAAGTGGTGGAGAAGATAATTTCTTTGGCTTGGATGGGGATGTTTCAGAACTTAGTCCTTGTCAGAGGTCTGGGCTGAAGGAATTATTGAATTCCTATTCGGATCCTATTCAGATCCACAGAAAGGTGTACTGCGTGAGGGACTAGCCAACTCCTGTTTCGGTTGCAGAGGTCCAGAAGTTCCTTGGCTTGGCGTCATATTATAGGCGCTATGTAAAAGGGTTTTCTACTATTGCAGCCTCCATTGTTAAAATTAACCCAAAAACGAGAGCAATTTATTTGGAAGCCAGAATGCGATGAAGCGTTTCAGCTCCTTAAGAAGAGACTCATAGAGGCTCCAATATTAGCGTATTAGGAAGTGCTCTTGTGAATCGGGTGTTCATATTGCAGAAAGGTTGGATACATTGGATGTTGGTAATCTCCAATGCGCTTTATAATCCAGGGTTCGGAGCAAGATGTATAACCAACTTTTAGGCATGTCGAGGGAAAGGGACCTGTCGTTAAAGATTTATGTAGTAGGTGGGGTCTGTAAGGTTTTACTGATTGATACTGGCGGGGGTGGTAAGTTAAAAGTTGTCTTACTTAAGTGCTTGGCTCAGCACATAATTCAGTGTATGGTGGGCATTTGGCTGTGTTTAAAACTGGACAAAGGGTCAAGGAGAGGTTTTACTGGAGTGGGTTGCGTAAGGATGTGGGGTTATACTGTAGGAATTGTCTGGAGTATGCTAGTAGGAGAGCTCCAAATAGAAAGAGAATTGCTCCGCTTCAGCCTCATCTGGTGGGTGCACCATTTGAGAAGATAGCTCTGGACATATTGGGACATGTTACTATGTCTAATCGTGGAAACAATGTATGTTCTTGTAATTTCAGGTTATTTCACCAAATGGGTAGAGGCATTTCGTTTAGTAGATCACAAGGCAGAATCTGTAGCTCGGGTGTTGGTGGATGAGTTTATTTGCCGGTATGTGGGGTACCGTACCAATTCCTTTCGGACCAGGGTACAGATTTTGAGTCAAAGTTATTTCGAGACGTTTGCGAGCTTTTGGGTATTAAGAAGACAAGAACCACTGTCTACTATCCTGAATCCGACGGCATGGTCGAAGGGTTGAATAGAACTCTTGCTGATATGATTAGTAAATATATAAATGATCATCGTACAGATTGGGATGTCCATCTTCCTAGAGTTATGATGGCATACAGGACGAGTGTTCACAAGCAGACCAAATTTACACCCGTGTATTTGATGTTTGGTAGGGAAATAAAGTTACCCATATATGTCATTTATGGAACTCCACAAGAAAAACCAAAGTGGGCAATTATGTTCAAAATCTACAAGATGGGTTTTCTAGAGCGTATGAGTTAGTTCGACAGGCTAGGACTACATCTTGGTCACGTGACACGAAAAGTCCGTGCAGTTTGAGTGTGTTGGATCATTCTGTCAGCATGGCTGGTAACGGAAGGTTGGTTTGAGTCTTTCCCTTGCCTGTGTAATATGTGTATGTAATTTATCCTTGTCCATATCTTGTTCATTAAAAGCATTATTATGTGTTCTAATTATTGTCTTACAGTGTATAAAGTTTGCCTCTCACTTTTTATTATTCTTTGTCTGAGGAGGACGGTCAAACATGTCGAAACATTGCATAAATCTTTAACCATTGATTGTTATTCCATAAATCTGTGTCTATCATATATTTATAATTGCTAAATGTCAAGAAGTTTTGTCAATATAGAAGGTAGTTGAATGAGATACACTATCGTAGAACAATAAATATTCACAATAGGAGCTTTTCAAAAACCTGGAAATCGATGGGTTATTTGAGTCACAATCCGTTGTGTTACTTTAGTGTAACGTTTACAGCATCATCGCGGGATGGTGCATTGCTTAAGTATATAAACTTAATGCATCAATATTGAGCTATTAATTTTTTATGAGACTAAAAGAAAAACCGGAATCTGACGACATATGAAAATAAATCATAACATTCAAATAGTAACTTTTAATTTGGTGACAATATATACAGATTTTGATTATTTGGAATGTATCTTCAACGTTTTAAAGACGTTTGCCTTTGCCTGTTATACATGTACTTCTGTGGATGTTTCGTTTCCACAACTGCAGGTACATTTATTAAAAATGCTAAAAATATATTTTCTATATATTTGTAAATTGTTAGCTGTCATATATTGTTTTTATTCCTATATTTCCAGGTTTAGATAAAGACCATTGGGGTACCAATTTTGTGCTAACCTTTCCGAAATTAACAGATTATAAGAATAAAAACATGGTTGTTATAACAGCACGTGAGGTAACAGAAGTCAGGGTGACGTCACATCAAACAGGCGAAGTTTCGGCCTTTTCTTTAAGCGAGGGCGAGGCAGGAAGGGTGATTTATGGTAATGAGGTTGAAACGGCTTCTTATGGAGTAAAACTTGAGGATTTGGCGATATCTGTTGTAGCCTCAAATAAAATATCTGTATATGCCTACGGTTACTCGGCTCATTCAACAGAAGGAATGTTAATACTGCCAGTTCCCTCGCTCGGAATTGACTATTTGGTAGCCAATTTTTATAATCAAACTTCATCGAGTAAGTATAGATGACAGTAGAGATTGCTATCCTCGAAAATCTTGGTAGTTGTATCCGGAGGTAAAGAAGACTGTGTGTTGTCAATTTTTAATCAGATAACCTACTTTTAGTATTTCTTGGTTTGTAGATGCTGCGCCTATGAGCAGTATCTTCCAGACTTTAAATTTGACCATTTCTCAATTTTTCATTTTCTTTTTTCCAAATCATGTATTGTATTGTCCCCGTGAGCTGAAAGGATGTGGTGCCAAGTTTATGAAATATTGATTCACTTATGATTCATCATGTCGAAAATTCATTAGCTGTTACCAATTGTTTGCCATTATGTTGTTTTGATTTCGGGTTTTGTTTTGTGGTTCTTGGTTTATTTATACATGGCCATGTTTTGTTTATTGGACCTAATTCTGACCCATGCAAAATTAAGAGTTTATTATTTTATTATCATTATTTTATTTTATGATTCCTTTAGTATTTTAATAATAGCGACTCTAAACCCTGTAAGATTTCATATTCCTGGTTTTATTTTTCAGCACAGACTATAATTATAGCAGCCGACAATAATACTGAGGTCAACATTCAGTTTAAGTTGGAAGCAAATACACATTGTGATGTTGGTTTTAACGGGTTTTACGACGGTGACAATTTTGATTTCATTTTGAATGATCACGACGTTCTTAATATTAACTGTGAATGTGATAATACCGGAAGTCGCATTACGTCGAATAAACCAATAGGTGTCATAACCGGAAATAGAAACGTGAAATTACCAATGACATCCAGAATTGACCCAATTATGGAAATGCTGCCACCAGTTACTGAATTAGGAACCCAATTTTCTTTAATAGCTCCTACAGGTCACACAAGTCAAAAATCAATGCTGCGAGTAGTGTCTCTTAACTCGGGAACATCATTTGAAATAAAAGGAGAACTGTATACTCCATTGAAAGGAGAAGCAGTAGATATTAAATATTTAAGCCAGTCCGAGAAAATCTGTTTCAATGCCACTGACAAGGTTATAGTTGTTATATTTATGTTAGGAGATCCCGTATCATGGTATTACGACGGAGATGCCTATATGTCAGTCGTACCGCCCATTGATAGAGCAACAAATGATTACATGGTTTTTAACAATGCCTTAAAGTCTTTGGATGATTATTATAAAGGTGGAGTTAATATCGTTGCTCGAAATTCCGTTACAGACGCAATAATTCCGTCTTTAAACTATGACCAATTATGTACTGGCTATAATGTCCACAGTGAGATAATAGGAGATAGTCAAGTTAAACATTATCATGCCCCCTCACCATTTTTATTACTCATTTATGGATATTCAATAAGAGAAGCGTTTGGTTTCCCTGCTGGTATGAAATTATCTGTTTTTAGCGGTAAGTTTTTCTTTATTCAGCTCACATAGATAAAGATGTTATTTTGAATTCATATTTTTCATTGGTGAAGACATACAGTTTTAAGGTTCTATATTTTTTAGCTGATACAGCTGTATTTCAGCGTTCAACAACAAGGAAAAGGAAAACAAAATATTGCGCAATTATTTTAGGTACTGATGAATGTGCCAGTTTTCCTTGTCAGAATGGAGGTTGGTGTATAGACACGACTACTTCGTTTAGATGTCATTGTGAAGATTCGAGATATACTGGTACACATTGTGAAATAGGTAAAGCAAACATTCCTATTCTCCCCTTCACCGTCATTATCCAAAACATACCATGTTTAAATATTATCATCATCATCAGCAGCACCACCAAGATAATCATCGTCATTGTCGTTGTAGTTAGAAGTAAGAAATTATCCCGCTCATCCCTCTTCAACAACAAGCAGGCAATACATCATCATCATCAGCATTATCATCATCATCATCATCATCATCACCATCATCATCATCCTCACCATAACCATCATCATCATCATAATCTAGATAATCATCGTGATTCTCGTTCCGGTTAGAAGCTACCTCGCTCATCTCTCATCATCAACAAGCAAGCAATACATCATCATTATCATCATTATCATCATAACCATCATCATCATCTAGATAATCAGCGTGATTCTCGTCCCAGTTAGAAGCTACCTCGCTCATCTCTCATCATTAACAAGCAAGCAATATATCATCATTATCATCATAACCATCAAGATAATCGTTGTCGTTCTCGTTGTAGTTAGAAATTACCTCGCTCATCCCTCATCACCAACCAACCAGATAATCATCGTCATTCTCGTTTCAGTTAGAAGTTACCCAGCTCACCAGCAACAAGCATGTAATACATCATCATCATCATAGTCGTCATCACCATCATCATCATTATCATCATCATAACTAGGTCTTATGCAAATTACGAAAACGCGCTGCAAGTAGTATATTAGATGAACAACATGATTCACCCTCGGCACCATTATTCAAAATATAAAATTAGTCAACACTGTAGCAACATTTTAGATATAATCGTGGCATGACATTCAAAATATTTCAAATTGGACACCCTGAATATTTATATAAAAACTGTTAGTTTTAGTCATAGAACTCTATCGTTTTAGTGGGATTGCAAGAACCACAGACGTCGGAATGAAAATTGGAATGGTGCAAATTGATGATATCAGTCTCCCCGATACACATAAAAAGTTTCGAAAACCTCTTTACAATCTCTTTAAAATAATAACTTATACCATCATATAATCTTAGAAACACAGTAATACAGCTCTTACCACATCCTTGATACATTATAAATGCATATATTTATGTTTTATGAAACTTTCTGTGTTTTTATTCATTATGTTACTTAGTATATCATTTGTAGTTTTGTGGGAAAACATAGTGGTTACATTTTTATATTTCCTTTTTCGTTCATTTATATCTCAGATAGTTCCAGATAATTTAATGATTTACAAACGAATGATATAAAGAATTGAGAACAGGACAAAGTATATTCAAATATTCATTCTTTCAGAAATATATGATGAATCAACAACGTCTGAACAACCGACAGCTGATATACTCCCCACTGAACAACCGACAACAACAGATATATCAACCACTGAACACCAGACAACAACAGATATACCAACCACTGAACATTCGACAACAACAGATATACCAAACACTGAACACCAGACATCAACAACTGGGCCAACCACTGAACACCCGACTCCAAAAACAGACATGCCAACTACTGAACATCCAACAGCAGATATACCAACCACTGAACATTCGACAACAACAGATATACCAACCACTGAACATTCGTCAACAACAGATATACCAACCACTGAACATTCAACAACAACAGATATACCAACCACTGAACATTCAACAACAACAGTTATATCAACCACTGAACATCCAACAACAGATATACCAACCACTGAACACTCTATAACAACAGATATACCAACCACTGAACATTCAACAACAACAAATATACCAACCACTGAACATCAGACAACAACAGGTATACCAACCACTGAACATTCAACAACAACAGATATGCCAACCACTGAACACCAGACAACAGCAGATGTACCAATCACTAAACATTCAACAACAACAGATATACCAACCACTGAAAATTCAACAACAACAGATATACCAACCACTGAACATCCAACAACAACAGATATACCAAACACTGAACACCAGACAACAACATATATACCAACCACTGAACACCCGACATAACAAATATACCATGCACTGAACATTCAACGACAACAGATATACCCACCACTGAACTCCCGACAACAACATATATACCAACCACTGAACACCCAACAACAACAAATATACCAAGCACTGAACATTCAACGACAACAGATATACCCACCACTGAACTCCCGACAACAACAGACGAACAAACCACTGAACATTCGACAACAACAGTTATACCAACCACTGAACATTCGACAACAACAGTTATATCAACCACTGAAAATTCGACAACAGATATACCAATCACTGAACATCCGACAACAACAAATATACCAACTTCTAAACCCCTTAAGGAAACAACATTGGAAATTTCTAATAACCAAACGGAGAATCAATCTGATATTAATTTTTTACCTATCTATTTCAGATACAGAGCTTGTAACGGCATCTTGTGTTTGTGTAAATGTCCGTGCAATCAAATTCTAAATAGAACAAAAGCATTAGAACATGCTAAAGAACAACAAAATCAGCTACTAGTTGAGAAGAAATCACTTTCTAAAACTGTGCGACGTAAGATAAGTTCTGAAAATTTGACCACGTCTGAGTGTAATTTAGGACTCTTTTCTGTTGTAATCACCTGTATAATGGCGTCAGCGGTTGTTATTTTAGACATTAATCTTTTTTGGGTTTGGGTTTACAAGAAAATCAAACAATAGAAGGAAAGAAATCGTGGGGACACAGATGGTATGAAAGGAGGCTACCGGTACCAGTGTACAAGATAAACGGTTTAAGGGTAATTGTCTCTGACTTTCAGCTGTGTCTAAAGCTGTTTGTTAGCACTAATATAGAAGTTACTGTTCGAACATTTTTAAGAAACTTGCATGGACGCGTGACAGGCTATCCTTCTGTGTTCTCACCCCTTTCGTAAGATGTAAGATGTCTACCCAGGCCTTTCAAAACTTTTTTTAAAATCCGTCGAAAATTGTGCCTTGTATTTACGAGCAAAAATTGAACGCGTTTTCAAGAACAAGGGCAATAACTCATTAGATATATTTTTTTTTAATAGGATTCATCCTTTAGTGATAATGCACAATTTCACTATCTAGACCTTCATCAACCATTTGTAAAAAAAATTAATTGGATGTTATATGGAATGTATTTTCCTTTATAAGCCTTCTTCATATAAATGTATCATGTTATATCAATAGATTAATCGATTTCTAAGTTGGATTTCAGGGAATACTTATTAGACTGGTGCCATGGCTATATACAGTATATTATATAACATGCAGTGTATGTTTGTGTGTGTGTCATTTCAACTAAAATCATACTACTGACTTAACTAATTTTCACATAATTAATAGACTTATCTATTGCTCTGTGACCTAGGCCAGTGCTTTCATTGAGACTCGTCTCAATACACCCTAACACTAAGTTTGATCTAAATTCGTCAAGAATTGTGCCCTATAGATTGTTTAGGCTACAGGCATGAGAATTTCTTTATAATCCCTTTAAATTAAAGTGATACTACGTCTGGATAATTACTAGGCTAAGTTTTTTGGATTTATCGGATTATATAAGGATCTTATGTTATTTATGACACCAGGCATATCTATACTGGTTCTTATTTGCCAAGTTTAAAATTCTTCAATATTATGTTAATTCCAAGACTCACTTTAAGTTCTCCTGGCCCGTAGGTTTTTACCCCTAGAACGGTATATAATTTACCCAATGTCCAACTCGCCCCAACTGCAGTGTAGAGGCCGGATACATAATCCATTTCAACGGCTGCTTGAAAAATTTCTAACAATATGTATGACATATATATACATTTTTTATCATAGCTTGCTTTATAGATAATTATTCTGATATGTTTGTAATATTAAATTGATAATGAATATAAATTTGTACCGGTACTATAATACCTTCTGCCCGGTGCTGTCGTGACTTCCTTAGTAACTAGAAAGTTTGTTATGACAACGCTTGTTATGGTGGACAATCAATAGTGATCTTTTATACTGGGGTGATTATTTTGACTCTCACCCCTCACAAACAAGGAAAGAAAGCAAAATGAGTTTTAATTTCAGCGCAAATCAAGTAAGTAATATTATTCTTAATTTAGTTAACCTATAAATCAAAAGATATGTAAGGAATTTTGTCTGAAATTTACTTCAGTGACTTCTTATTTCTTCACGTCTTCAGCTCAGGTCTTTATTTAATTTTCTTCATATGTATTGTTATAAGATCTAATGTAATGGCCTTGGTTCGCAATTCAGGGGTTCATTTGGGCATGGAGTAAATTCTTTCAAATAAGCTTATTTTTTAAGCTTACTTTAACTTTAAAGGAACAGTTAGGCCATTTTTAGACCAATCATAAGCATGATAAGCCGCGTTTACATAGCCATAAAACTCGGTCCGGACTCAGCTCGGCTAGCCGGTAATGTTTACACTGGGCGAGTCATCGAGTATACACCTGCTCTCCAGTCAGTGGAGGTGAAAAAAATGCGGACATTCAAAATGCTGCCGACCATAAACAAGGCGATGATTTTGTCACGTTCACAGTGTAAACGATTCTTAAAAATATTTAGTTTTGTTTTTGAGACACAGAGAAATAAATTTGAGCCATTGCAAACACGATATATTTCAACATTACATGTCATAGAGAGTCAAAGTCATAATTGCACATGCAAACTTCTCCTTGGGTAAGTGGGCTTGGACCGCTTCGCGACACGTTTACACTGTCACTGATATTTAGCCGAGCCCTCTCAATCTGTTCACACTGCCTTTTTTTCTACCAGAAAATTTGTGGCTTTCTAAATGCTGTTATACTTTAGTCTCAGAAACTGGAATTTTTTATCTGAGCTAATCAGTAATTGTGTTCACAGCTCACAGTCTAAATTTAAATTTGAGCCTTCAAATCCATGTGTGTCCAGAATTATCTACGTTTGAATGTTAGAATGATGACTCATCATTTTTAGATACTCTGTGATATATAGAAAAACATATTTAGAAATAGTGACTAAAATTCCTAGTTTGAAGTATTTTTAAAGGAATTATGTGATTTTTTGTACATTTCTAATACTTCTGAAGACTATTTACAAATATTCAAGACTAAAATCAACACCTCAAAATGGCGCATCTGTCCCTGTAATACCTTTTAACTCACAATTTTTAGTTATTAAATTTCCTTACCGGTATTTAATATGATAAAGTGACTGTAAAGAGGTTTTCCAATCTTCTTAAATGTATCGGGGACAATGGGTGCAAAGTCAAGTTTGATACTACTCATAAGGTACCGTATAATATTGTCAGATCACCTTGTTCACAGTGAGAACAGAATTTAAATTTTTAATTGTCAATTCACCCCTTCGATTTGACTCTAATATTTTATAATCTTTATTATCTAATTTCAGTATGAACAGGCTTTTTATCCCAATTCTCTTCAAAACTGGGAAGTTCCACGGCTATCAGGAAGGGTGAGTAGAACTTAAAGATATTGTGTACAAAATATTGCCATTCCTATGAGGCACAAGAATAACGATGACAAACTAATGAAATTTCCTTTAAAAATCGAAAAGGACAGGCCAAGCCCACTGTCCTGGAAAAAATTCCCTCGTTGTATCCTGCATGGCGTTGGCTGTCTTCATTACAACATTACCTGATATATATTCCATCTGTTAGTGTAGTGGCCAAGAAATTTAGTAAAATAAAATTTTGATTTATATTTCAGCATCCCAAGACTAGAGTAGGTTCATCAAGAGTTATCTCCACTAATAAAGGTCATCTAGTTGCTGGTGTTCCTAGGTCTCGTCAATCGCCATGGGGAAGTTTTGTTGGAACTTGGGATATGCCTACCAATATACCAGGTATTTGATGAGCTTTACAAATAGTTTGATCAATAGTCTATCAATAGTCCACTTTATCTATAATAGTATATATATACTATCATAGAGAGTCGACTATTGATAGAAACAGGTGCCTATACATACAAGGCTAGAAACTCTTCTTCTAAATAACACTACAATAAGTTTCTCTACAGTACTGTACAGAACTGCCAACATTTTCAGCAATATGTCAGGTAGGTAACCTCTTTTGAACCCTTTTAAATGACACTTCAATGATTTTCTCTAAACTCTGTTTACAGGTAATAATATAACAAATCATACAGCTAGAGCTGACCATGCCATCAATAAACATTATTCTCTTAAGGAACAAGGTGATCTGGTTCTCAGTGGACAACTTAAGCCATCCAAGGTAAATAGTCTTATAATCTAATATATTATTACACATGATCATCTTCACAGTGTCAAGCTATTACAAACTGCATCTTATACCTTAGCATTAGCGTGCAATACCATCACATTGCTGCATTTACAAACTTTAGTGATACAAGAAAAGTGGCTATTGCAGTCAAGCTTTTAGATGCAATTTGTAATAGCTTGACATTGAGAAGATGATCCATGATATTCATAGTATTTTCTTTAATTTAAAAGTTTGTCAACAGCTTCTCTGATAAAAACATTCTGACTATAGTAAATTTGATATTGATGTGGACATGTATACTAAATGATTAGGATCAGAGTTTAGAGCTGCAGTAGACTACTCTGTATCGGGACATGAAGCAAACGCAGACATTGAGGTTTCCCTAGGAATAACCTTGAGGATAGAACAATGTCATAGAGCTAGCTATAATTGTAGTTATGACCAAGAAACATTTTCTCTTTATAGAGTTAGATGCTATTAATGTGCATGTGTACACTCATTTTGAACCCTCTACCTTTAATAGATTTACAAATATTACGAACTCAAAGAGTTATTTCACTAGATGAAGAGTTACATAATTATTGTTTAGTTTATTGGAATCTATTTTAGCAGTTATAGAATGTATTTGGAAGCTTTGGATAATGATAGATTCTTTATGTATTTTGTCAGGGGTATGGTTATATTATATTAAGTTATTTCCATTTATTTCAGGTTCCTGAGCCACTGCCAGTTAAAGCTGATCAACAAGCCGATGTGAAACCAGTAACATCAGTAACTGACATCAGATCAGGAGCAGCTAACCCTATTCCAGCTACAACTCTGGGAAGCCCAAATTCCGTCAACTGGCCACTTCCAGCTCATTCAAGGAATTCTATGAGACAAACAACACCCAAACCTGCATCACCAGTACAACCGGTTTTTCCACTCAGTGATCAGCATGGTGATTATAACCAGAGTGCTCAAACACCGGTTCTTTATTCTTCTAGAACACCAATACCACAGAATGATGGAGAGGTCACATGGCAGCTGCCAAAAAGTGTTGAACCAGGAATGATTTAAAGGGAACTTTTATAGGAATATTTTATATGTTTATTTATTCTAATGGTTTAAAGGGACAGGTTTTACATTTTGGGGGGTTGATTTTAGTCTTGAATATTTGTAAATAGTCTTCATAAGTACTAGAAATGTACTAAAACACATAATTCCTTGAAAAATATTTCCAACTGGTAATTTTACTCACTATTTCCATATGTCTTTTCTATATATCACAGAGTATTTTTTTTAATTGACGAGTCATTTTAACATTTAAACACTGATAATTCTGGACACACTTGGATTTGAACGCTCAAATTTCGACAGTTAGCTGTTAACACTATTACTGATTAGCTCAGCTAAGTTTCTGAGACTACAATATGATTGGTAAAAAAAATGGCCTACCTGTCCCTTTAAGGGGATCTCATTTTTTATTAATGCAAAAACAAGTCTTTTCTTCATTACAAATTTATTGTTTCCAAACTTCTTATTTAGATATTAGATATTTTTGACCACGTAAATTATATATTTGGTTTCTTATCTGAAATGTTATATGTAATGGAGGTATTTAAGATCTGAAATAAGACATGACTATATCAATAGCCCGTGCATGTTTTCTTTGAAATCTTGCACTTGTATTAAATTATATCCAGTTTGGATTTATAGAAATATTGATTTGAGAAATATACCTGGAGGTCTTAAAACTATTGATCTTTTTTATTATAGTTTTTATCAATCATAAATAGTTCCCTATAGCTTTATCTGTGATATTATTAGCACTTCTTGTTTTGCACTTAATTGTATACTATCTTTTCTTTATATTTTTCTCCATATTTAGATCTGTTAGACTTGTATACTTAAAACAGAACATGAATCCTTTTGTATCAGATTCAGGTTATGTTTGCTGAAATATGTCACTCTCTGGAATAACTAATTCTACTCATGTCAACTTTAAATTTCTATCAATTTCATACAGACAGCATTATACACATTATTTTCACATGATTAATCTTGCCCAAACTGTAAAGATATTTTGACTAGTTTATGTGAGAAATTTTGGTTGGAAGTGCCAAGTTCACATTTGAACCCAGGAATTTTTTTATTAAGAAAAGTTACGTATGTGAGCATGAATATAATTGCTATAATCAAGTAGAAAAGTATCCATTTGGATTGAAAATGTGATGAGATAAAGGAATCCGCAGCTGCTTAAAGATAAACTACCTTTTAGTATGACCACAAAATTGAAATATTTAAACTTGGCCAAGTCTTTGTTCAATAGTGGACTTATCTGGTGTCAAATCTGATGAATATATTACACTTATTGACCAAGTTTGAGACTTTAAATTTTATGTTCATTCTAAGAGATAGTATTCCTTTAAAAGAGCTAAAAATGTCAAGATCCACAGCAAAATGTATGCCAAAACTCTAAATGTATTTACACTTATTATTAAACTTTCACTTTGTTATCTGGGGTTGTCTTTTTATAGTCTGGTACAATGTTTTTTTAAACAATAGCAATGTGATCATTACTTGATATTTTCATTGAAAGTAAAATACCCTCTTTGCTTCTGATTCATTATATGTGAAAAGCTTATTTTTCAAAAAAATATTAGGAATCATAAACATAAACCGCAGTCTTATTCCTGTTGTACCCTTGCAATTATAACAAACTGAACGGTCTGTTATCTTGGGAGGGGAATTAGGTGCATATCAACTTCCAAATCCACTTTTGCCGATCCACATTGAATATGGAGGATGTAGGTTGGCGTTACCTTGCAATTATAGCAAACTAAACAGGGGTCAGTTGGATAGCAGAGACATAACTGTTTTGTTGACTGAATGTACAAGATTCCATGAAGCACAAACAATATTATAAAAAAGTTGAGTCAGCTATTTCAGTAAAAGAAATGATACTACCAAAGATAGTATTACAGATACATCCTTAGTTATATCTAATTATCTTAACCTTTAACTTGCACCTTGTTTTATCATAAATCTTAACTTTGTGACCTAGGCCAGTGCTTTTATGTTCTAATCACCATTTAACACAAAATTTTCTGTGAAAATTTATCTTCATGAATACTGTAATATTACTAGAGATTAGAAGGATTTAGATGCAAATTCACAACTGTGGATGTCAACAGCTTTCAATTTAGGAACCCATGTACTTTGAAATCATTTATTCTTTTGGACACCAAATTTGAGTTGATTTCTCCTCAATGGCATATTTCTGAGGAATTAAATTGCTAATTCCACAGTAACTTATGGTAGTTTTTTGATCTTTGACTTTGGCACCATTGTCTACATTTCATCAAGCACTTATATATAAAATCTCTATTTGCAATATTATTCTGCTCTCCTTTCACACATACATTACTCATTCAAACCATTTTCTTTATATCAGTTTATCTGGAAAAATAAAACATTTAGAAATATAGTTGAATAAAGTTATTTATACACAATAAAGCTTAGTATGGTAATAGATCTTACGTGAGTTTTTCAACACAACCCAAAATCATTTCTGCTTTTTTAACCTCTAAAATAATTTATGCATTTGAAAAATAAACAGCAAGATACTTGAAATGATGAGATAAGGTAAAGGGTCACAGTTCTTTTAGATATTTCATTACTTTAAGCACTTAACTTTCCCAAGCAGACTGTCCGTTTAATAAACCTACCAATAATAGTCTTTTTCTTTATGTCGTGATTTTTCAGATTTCTGACTGCGAGATTTCTGGGGTCGATTTGTTTTCCGAGATTGACCTTTTTCATTTGGTTTCTTTACATTTAATAAGGGATGAATTTCTGAAAAAAAAAGACACACCATTAAAGGGATTGTAAAGAAGTTTTCTAAGTTTCTTATGTGTATGGGGGACACTGATATCATCAATTTGCACCATTCCACTTTTCATTCTGACGTCTGTGGTTCTTTCAATTCCACGTTTTATGACGCTACTACAAGGGGAACTGCATAAATATCAATAGTAGCTTACACTAGCTCCCCTCAAGTGACGTCATAAAACACGTTAGTTTTAGTGGGATTGCAAGAGCCACAGACGTTGGCATGAAAAGTGGACTGGTGCAAATTGAAGCCATCAGTGTCCCCGATACACAAAAGAATTTTAGAAAACTTCTTTACAATCCCTTAAATTGATATCTAATGATATAATTGACGAACTTGTCCTGTTTTGGATATAAAAACAACAGTTGTAACAGATGGATCATTACTGAAAAAAGTGAATTGCGCTGTTCAAATAATTATAAGAAATAGGTATAAAAACTGTTTTAAAGGGACAGACTCCCAATTTTCAGGGGGTTGATTTTGGGCCTTGAATATATGTAAATAGTCTTTCAGTACTATCAATGTATGAAAATAGCATCATTCTTTTAATAATACATCTAAGAAGGAATTTCAGTTTCTATATGTCTTTTTATATATGGCAAAGACTAAAGACATTTTAACTTTCTGGACATACAGAAATTTGAAGGTGAGCTGTGAACTGAATAGCCTAGCTAATAAAATACCTGTTTCTAAGACTAAGGCACAAATGGTCAATCGAATGGCGAACCTGTACCTTTAACAAAACAAACAATTGGTAAATCAATACAGATAGTTGGAAAAGAAATATTCAGACAACTGCATCCCTTTAAAAGATTTTGAATAAAGTAATTTCCTACCGTCAAGTGGTGCATCAGGAAGATCTATGTCATGTGATTTGGTTTTCTTCTTCTTTGGTGATGGTGACACATCAGAACCAGAATGAGGTCTCTTTTTTTCATTAGCTGTTGTTGTTTCTTCTGCCTATAGAATCATTGAATACAATCTAATATAACCAAACTTGTGTTCTGTTTTCTTATAAACTTTAATTTTTAATATAGCCACTTCAATCAATTTTCTAAACATTTGTCTAATTAACCTTTTGACCTAATCAAATTCCTTCACTCTCTCACAAAATACCAGCGCTGTAGAGGACAGATATTTGAGGATTAAGCAATGTTTGGTCAAAAGTTCAACAGGGCTCTTGTTAGACCCTGGCTGAATTGGCTATATCAAAAATAAAAGCTAATAAAAAATGGAATGAAAGATTGGTCTCATTTTAATTACATTGAATACAAAAAATACAGAATTTTATACATTTGTATAGGAAATACAAAAGTGTATTAATTAGAAAAATTAATTAAAAGGAAAAATACACAGAATTAAACTTTCTATAGTTCCAGTCATCAGATTGGTTAATCACTTCCAAACAATTTCTCATTTTAAGCTAAAACTTATCTATGCTTTAATTTCAACACTATCAGAACTATGAAGTAACATTTTCTCATGTAATTCTTAGCCTTCAACTTTAAGACTCTTTTACAAATATTGAATATGTTAAAAAATTAATGTTTGTAAATATTTTGATTCCTTTAATAAGCCTGTTACCACAGATAGTAATCTTCATCTAAGGCAGGGCAAACAACTTTAAAAAACCACAAATAGTTTATCTTATGTTTTTCAAACATTCAACAAAAAAATTCTCAAAACAGACAAAAAATTGGAATGCAAACTTTTAATACCAACTATAAACAATATTTTTATGAAAAGACATCCCCAAAACCATAATTTTATATTATACCATAACCATGATGTACATAATAATGATATACCAGGAGGTTAAGACAGTGTCAATATACCCTTTAAAATAAGTAAAGACTTATTCACCCTTCTCTTTGTTCATTAAAATTAAGTTCATAGTATGTAAAAGGTTTTTTAATCCATCCATTACTTTCCTGATGACAGTATACCTTCCTATTGAAGATTTGTTTTGATATATAAATACACCAGACAGATTTCCATAATTTTGTTTTGACCATGTTTCTTTGAAAAAAAAAATTTGATGTAAAAAAATGAAAAGACTAAAGCATGCAGTATAAAATAAACAGCACAAAATCCCACAGCAGTTAAAATTCTAAAAAAAGAATGGCAATAAAACTCTATTTAAAAAAACAAATGAAAATAATTTAAAAGGGCAATCTGCTTTTTCTGTAAAAAGTTTCATAATCAAAGATGTCTTAAATTATATTTGAAAATATTTTTCAAGTATGCTATTTATAACTTTGTATCTACTTGATCAAACTGAATTTATCTTAAAATGAGTTATTTAAAAACGGAGAGCACTATTTGTTAATTAAGCAAACTGGCCTAATTTTGGTGTTTGGCTTTATAATGGCTCAATATTTTTAGTTAAAACCTTTAGAATAGGCGAAAGACTTCTCTTCAATTAATTTACTTAGTTTTGTAACAGCTTCAAAAAACCATAACGAAATTTTGTCGTTAAAATATTAACAGCTGAATTTGTTTCGTTAAAAATTTCAGATACATTAAGTGATACATTTCTCTAGATTTTAATGTATAATTTTCACAAATTTGAGCACACAAAAAAAAATTGCAACCTACAAAAAAGCAGAATGCCCCTTGAAAGCAAATGCATTGTTACAAAAGCTCAAGCAAGCATGGGATAAAAAAATGAAAACTGTAGCAGGCAGGGGTTGAAGAAGAAAATCTGAGGTTTAATACTAGCTAAGAAGCAAAAGCAAAGAATAAAATTGCTAAAATAAAAATAAAATAAAATCAAAGCAAGCATGGGATAAAACAAAATAAAATAATGTTACTACAGTTACCCTAGAATTAATGGTGGTGGAAGAAGAAGAGGTTGTTTTTCTCTATTTTTGACAGAAAAACAAAATATACAGATAGATTATTACAACATTTATTGTTTATGGATCAACCAGCAACCAACTAATCCTTTAATTAAACTTTATTTTTAACTTTACCTGTGATTCAGGTTATCACATAATGACATAATATCCTTTATGATATATTGGTAAAATTCTATGGCATTTTGATTGTTTTAAATTTCATTTTTTTAAACCTCAAAGGGATTCAGGTATATCGACTGGACATATGCCTTCATGAAATATTGGTAAATTTCTATTTTGATTGTTTGAGAATAAATTCTGGATTAATCAATTGCTGGAATTGCCTCTCAACACATTTCAAATCTAGAAAATAGAAGTGCACCCAGTAAACTCTTTGTTTTGTTAGTTTGTATAGATCTAAACATTCTTTGTTTCTTTATTTAATCAATACCAATGATTAGGATAATGATCAATAAATAAGTTTTATTTTTTTAAAATACTGAGTACTGAATATTTTCCATTGATAATTAGTCTAATTAAAATCATACCAAACTTTTGTTCCAAGAAGAATCGTACACTGAATGCACCTTTGGTTTGCGTCACAAAATCCAAGCCTTAGTGGAAATATCATTATAAGAAGTCCGTCTTTAGACCGTAACAGAAATTAAAATTAAATTAAAAGGTATTAAAAATTAACGAAAAGTTTGGTCTAATTTTAATTGATATAATAAAATATAATATTTACTCAACGTTACTGAAATATTTGAGACACTTGACAGAAAATCCATACTACCATGTATGAAGACAGATTTCAATTCAGATTCTTATGAAATTTAGATTCAAAATACATTTAGAAATTGACTCATAGAGTCAATGAAGACAAATTCAGAATGCTTTTTTAAGTAAAGCAATTTTCTAAATTTTTTATATGTATCGTGGACGCTGATAGGATCAATTTGCAGCATTCCATTTATGTGGTTCCACCAAATTTAAGTGCTTGATGATGTACCTTATTGCAAAATATGCTTTATCAAGTAAGGCCCTTCGCGATTAGTGACATCATCAAACATTTAGTGGAATTGCAGGAACAATTAGAATGGTGCAAATTGATGCTATGAGTGTCCCTGATACACAAACCTCTTTACAATCTCTTTTATCCTCTTGAAATTATTCTTTGACATCTACTTTCAATTTATCAACATATATATTTTCAAAGAAAAAGAGAATAACAATTTTTAGTAAATTCGGATTGGAATTGCATGAAATCTGCTTCAGTAACAGGGAATTCCAAAACTAATTAATGTAACTAACTTTGGAGTCCCTTTCAATAGATAGATATATATATATATACATACATGATATAAAGTCTAAAATTATTACTACAAAAGGAACATGCTAAAAATACACAGTAATCTAAGATTATCTAATATTTCAACTAAACACACAGTTTTTATTTCCTGCTATTAATCTGATAAAATAGAGATTGGACAGTTCTATTTGACCAATGGATTCGACTAATGTTTTAATTATTCAATATCTATGTTCAGAATTTCTCCCAGTTTCCTACTGGGCTGAGAGAGGCACAAAGAGCTAGAGGTCCGCAGAAGACAAAGCATTTTAGAACCCCCTTCCCCCCACTCTTAATTGCTGAGAGAGTTCGACATGTAACATCAATGGTCCCAGGGTGGCAAAGGAGAATTTTAAATGTGGTACCTTTTGGGAGGCTATGGAAATTTACCCAATTCTCAAAGTTTCAGTGGTCAAGGGAGATAACTTACCACATCAGTTGGTACTGGCCACCCTTCCTCTGGTTCCTCTATTTCTGGTGAAACATGTAAATACAATAAAGCATCTCCATCTTCACTCTCTTCATCACTACAAATATTAACAAAGTATCAATTCAGACTTGAATCACATTGCAGTTTGCCGGTAAAATTACCCATTTTGTGATTCGATATTTCCTTTGATTAGCCAAATCTAAACTAACTTCATTGGCAAGATCAACCCTAGGAAGAACATTTTGAATCTCTACCGAACTTTTATGAAATGCGAATCAAAATTAAATTTAAATTGCTAATCAAATATTTCAATCTTATTTTATCCCTAGTTCAAGCAAACATATTAGTTGCTTTACATTAAAATCATGTACAATAACTCCTAGTGGAAATATTTGAAATTAGACTGAAGAGTTTAATACAAAAATTGCGAAACTGCAGACATATTTTCAATTGGCAATCTATACACAATATTGCTTACATTGTTAAACTGAATAAATAAAAACATTCCTAATTCAGATATGAACTCAACTTCTAAACATTGTCTTATGAATGATATTGATAGATAAACATGAGTAGAAGAGGAGTTCATTGAATAGGTGAGGGGCATCAAATACATTCTGGTACATTATTTTTAAGTTTGTATTAACATACCTGCTGACAAAAGCTTGAATTGGTTCCACAGTTGTCACATCTACATCTACCTCTTCCTCTTCTTTACCTGTATCATATAATTATAGGAAACCAAGGCTAAAAGGTGTTTGAAGGCTAACTGTTTGATCAGACACATGTAAACAGGCATACATGGGAAATCGGTACAAATAGAAATAGCTGAGCAATGTAAAAGCCAATATAATAAATTATGACAGGTCTGTATGAATTTTCCTCATATGCCAGATAGTTATAAAGTATTTAAAGCCGGTATCTTAAGTGGATATATGTCTCTGTGGCTGGATGTTTGGTTGTTAAAAAGCATAAGAACGGCAAACACTGGACTACTTTTTGATATAACACTGTAGTATTTTTTAATACAACGCTGTAGTATTTTTTAATATAACACTGTAGTATTTTTTAATACAACGCTGTAGTATTTTTTAATACAATGCTGTAGTATTTTTTAATACAAAGCTGTAGTGTTTTTGATACAAAGCTGTAGTGTTTTTTAATACAACGCTGTAGTATTTTTTAATACAATGCTGTAGTATTTTTTAATACAACGCTGTAGTATTTTTTAATACAAAGCTGTAGTATTTTTTAATACAACGCTGTAGTATTTTTTAATACAAAGCTGTAGTATTTTTTAATACAAATCTGTAGTATTTTTTAATACAACGCTGTAGTATTTTTTAATATAACACTGTAGTATTTTTTAATACAACGCTGTAGTATTTTTTAATACAATGCTGTAGTATTTTTTAATACAAAGCTGTAGTGTTTTTGATACAAAGCTGTAGTGTTTTTTAATACAACGCTGTAGTATTTTTTAATACAACGCTGTAGTATTTTTTAATACAAAGCTGTAGTATTTTTTAATACAACGCTGTAGTATTTTTTAATACAAAGCTGTAGTATTTTTTAATACAAATCTGTAGTATTTTTTAATACAACGCTGTAGTATTTTTTAATACAACGCTGTAGTATTTTTTAATACAACGCTGTAGTATTTTTTAATACAAAGCTGTAGTATTTTTTAATACAAAGCTGTAGTGTTTTTTGATACAACGCTGTAGTGTTTTTTGACATAAGGAATGCATTGTACAGGCAAGATGTAACATTATAAAGATATGGATGTTTCAGCCACAAAGTAACCGATATGGCTTTCTTGTTGACAGTCTCTTTGACTTCTTCTGGAATGGGAGATGAAGACAGCAAAATTAATCAGCTTTAGAGTTAAATGAGTTGAAAGAGAAAAAAACAAAAAGTCACCATTTGCATTTTCTTCTTTTTCTTTGTCTTCATCTTCCAGATCAAATTCTGATTCTCTCTCCTCATATTCTACATTTTCATCTAATTCTTTAAAATCAGGGGCAAACGCTGACCAATTTTCCTGGAAAGAAATAGAACTACATAGAAGATAGATGCAAAATCTAACCAATTTTCCAACCAACATATTAGTCAAGGACCAGCTGGTAGAAAGGATCCTTGTGAATCTAAGTTGTTATCCTTGTAAAAAATTATTGTTTCTTTCTTGCTTTCTTTATGTAGTGCCTGATTTTAAGTCACATCACACTTACTGCTCCAGTGAAATGGTGCAGACTTTCCTCAAAAAGAATATTTTTTGATGCCATTGCCTCTAAAATCAGTAATCTGTTGATCATATCATTCCAAGTTCCAATCTCCCTACCTAATCTACCTTCAAGATAAAAGATTACTTACAACTTGATTCTGAGCCCAGATAGAAACTAAACCACTTGATATTGATACAATAATAGGTCGTACTGGATGCCACTGAAATTAAACACAATGTCCTACTACATAACCATAATAATTAATAACCTTTATGAGGATATCTCATGGCCTAACGGATTCAATCTCCCTCTGGATAATGCAAAATAAATTTTAGATTATATTCTTCTGTCAGTTATTGGGCTGACAAACACTGGATGAGAATGAATATATCTAGTCTGCTAAGATTGTTGTTATGGTCACATGATGTGATGCTCAGAAATTCCAAAGATAGCTTGCCAGGCAAGGTAACATACGCCCACTGGCAGCTGTCAGAAATGATTAAACAGTCTTTAGTGACTACAGGGTTGCACAATATAGCTAATAGAGTAAAACGTCAGGTCAGACACGATATTTCGGTGAAAAATTATCCGATCATCATGAAAATCGATAGATCATCATGAAAATCAATAGGGATCATCTTCATAATGACATTGACATACAAAATAAAAATCAAAAGAATCTGTAAACAATTGTAGCCTGTAGAGTGAGCACGAGTTGCACAATATAGCTAATAGAGTAAAATGTCCCGTCAGACACGATATTTCGGTGAAAAATTATCCGATCATCACGAAAATCAATAGGGATCATCTTCATAATGACTTTGACACACAAAATAAAAATCAAAAGAATCTGTAAAAAATTGTAGCCTGTAGAGTGAGCACGAGTTGCACAATATAGCTAATAGAGAAAAACGTCAAGTCAGACACAATATTTCGGTGAAAAATTATCCGATCATCACGAAAATCAATAGGGATCATCTTCATAATGACTTTGACACACAAAATAAAAATCAAAAGAATCTGTAAAAAATTGTAGCCTGTAGAGTGAGCACGAGTTGCACAATATAGCTAATAGAGAAAAACGTCAAGTCAGACACGATATTTCGGTGAAAAATTATCCGATCATCACGAAAATCAATAGGGATCATCTTCATAATGACATTGACAGATAAAATAAAAATCAAAAGAATCTGTAAAAAATTGTAGCCTGTAGAGTGAGCACGAGTTGCACAATATAGCTAATAGAGAAAAACGTCAAGTCAGACACGATATTTCGGTGAAAAATTATCCAATCATCACGAAAATCAATAGGGATCATCTTCATAATGACTTTGACACACAAAATAAAAATCAAAAGAATCTGTAAAAAATTGTAGCCTGTAGAGTGAGCACGAGTTGCACAATATAGCTAATAGAGAAAAACGTCAAGTCAGACACAATATTTCGGTGAAAAATTATCCGATCATCACGAAAATCAATAGGGATCATCTTCATAATGACATTGACGGATAAAATAAAAATCAAAAGAATCTGTAAAAAATTGTAGCCTGTAGAGTGAGCACGAGTTGCACAATATAGCTAATAGAGAAAAACGTCGAGTCAGACACGATATTTCGGTGAAAAATTATCCGATCATCACGAAAATCAATAGGGATCATCTTCATAACAACATTGACATACAAAATAAAAATCAAAAGAATCCATAAAGAACTGTAGCCTGAAGAGTGAGCACGAGCCAAATTTGAACGGACGGACGGACGGACCGACCGACGGGGTGATTACAATATACGCCCATCTATATAATTTCCAGAGCAGGAATTACCAACAATCTAGGCCATACCAATAAACAAAGTGCTTATATAGAAGAA